GACAGATGCCACTGTCATGTTAGCCTGGTAATTTTGAAACCTGTTGTCAGGATGTGGGTTGCTGACTACTGCCTGTATCAGCCACCTGAAACAGGTTTCAGCCTCCCAGGCAATAGTTCCTGGTAGGCTTCCCAGAACGTCCTGTTTGTAGCCCTGAGATCACACATTGCTCCTTGTCAAGTCCTCTCTGCTGCTCATCATGTGTCCTACCAGGACTCATTGCTCCGGGTCCTGGCAGCCCCTCCTGTCTGCGCACTGCTCTTGTCCTCGGCTCGGGTGTCTCGGTCCTTACAGCTGGCAGTGAGGAGGACAGTGCTGCAAGACAGCTACCATGTTTTTCTTTTCCCTGCATAGACAGTGCAGGTACCTGTCTACTCAGAGCAGGAGTACCAGATGTATCTCCATGACGATGCGTGGACCAAAGCTGAGACAGACCACCTCTTCGACCTGGCTCGGCGTTTTGATTTGCGCTTTGTGGTGATTCACGACCGCTATGATCACCAGCAGTTCAAGGTGAGTCCTGGGGGACAAGGTGCTGCTAGCAACCTGCTGCTACGGCACGTGCAGGGCTTGCTGCACTGCAAAGACCAAATTACCCTTTATATCAACTTAATTAGGGGAAAATAATGAATTATTGGCAGCAAGGACTATTGAATTTCCAGCACAGGGCATTTCTGCTTGCTTTGTTTGTAATTAAATCCACTGTGACTTGTGCTCATTCCCTGTTGTGTTTTATTAGAAAGTTAGAAGGTTTGCCCCTGCCAGGAGAACAACTCACTGTTCCTTGAAGATAAGGCAGCTGGGGAGTTTGTTTAGCTGTGCAGGATAGGTGTCCTGGATTCCAGTCTAGGCCCTGGGAGAAGGATCTGATAACAGTCCCTGGGGACTGGGATTTTTCCCTGGTGCTGCTCCAAACTTGTGATCTAACCTGGTGCAGGTTTCTGTCATCTCTGCTGTGAAGCAGGGGCCATCAGTGGTCTGAAGATGCAGCCCTGGTGTCACGATCATAAATCACCTGTAACTGCTGTTTCCATGCCTCCTGGTGACACGGGGGAATGATGTGACTCCTACAGAACAGCTCCAAATGCTGGAGCTTTTTGCTACCCTCTGAAATGCTCACGTAAACAGCCTCTAGCAAAGTGAAATGACAAGAGTCTGCCCAGCTGGGCAAGAGAACACAGCTCAGACTCCATGTAATGATGGGCAGTGAATTGTGGCTGATACTGGCCATTATCCAGAGCAGCTCGGGGAAGGCCTTCTGTGCATTTGTCACAGTTTCCTGTTCACAGGTTTTCTCCTCGAGACAACTCTCCTTGCATTCTTTTATCTGGGAGTGCTTCACTGCTGTATTGTCTCTAACCCTCGGCTGTACTGTTGGACCCTCTGGCGGGTCTTTTTAAAGCAGTAGCTGTGAGCTCCTGGCAGTTAATTCAGGCAGTTCACTAAGAAACTCCCCTTCCCTGTGGTTCCACTGGGACTGGCAAGGCTACATCCTTCAGGTCGCGGTCCTTAGCTGGTGACTGCACAAGGTTTTGCTTGGTTCTTCCATAATGTTGTCCTCCTGCGATGTCTTTCACAGAAAAGATCAGTGGAGGACCTGAAGGAACGATATTATCATATCTGTGCCAAGCTGGCTAATATTCGTGCAGCTCCAGGCACAGACCTGAAAATCCCAGTCTTCGATGCTGGCCATGAGAGGCGAAGGAAGGAACAACTGGAAAGGCTGTACAATAGGACACCAGAGCAGGTAATTTTGGGAAGAGAGTGTCACTGCTCCCAAAAATTTGTGGTAAGTTGAATCAGTAGGTGGATGAAATAGGCCAGAGGGTGGGGAAAGGGAAATAAAGACTGGACAAGAAAAGAGCAACACCTAAGTACTGTTGAGTTTCTGTCATTTTAAGGGATACATAAGGACAGTAACTGAGAAATCTGACTCTTCAGGAGAGAGAGGGCTAGGTGAGCAGAGTTATGGTCTCTAGTTACTGCCAACGCCTTCTCCGTGACACTGTACCAGTCCTCTGAGTAGAAACAAATTCTCAGATCAATATCCTCATGAGTCCCATGGGGAGAGAATTATTTCCTTGAGAGTAAAAATCTTGCCAGAACACATCAAAGACTGTAAATCTACATGTTTAGTTCTCCTCTTTGTTGAAGCTGTGTAATGTTCCCAGGGTTTAGAGCTTAAGGAACTGTGTGTCCCCCAAAGGCTGGGGGAGAGCATCCTTTTCTGTTAGTAGTTACCTCCAATGCCAAGTTCATGTTTGCAGTGACTCTGCTTGTCCTTCCCACATTGACAGGTGTGTTGGTACTAGGCATAGCTGGTCTGGGTTCTACATGCTATGTCTGGGGAGTGGAGCCAGCTTTTCACAACACTGCATCTGCAACTACAGCCTATTTGGGCTTTTTTATGCTTCTATCTGTGCTCTTGGTCTCTTTGTCTGGAGGTAGTTTTATAGAATCAGAGAATGGTTTGGGTTTTAATCACTTATGGATGCTGCTGAAGGGTGCATCATGGATGATAATGATACAGTGCCTGCCAGTCCAGTTTGTAAACTGGCATTGCCACGGATACAGGGTATGGCTGTGGAGCATAACGTGCTCTGCAAATCCAAGATATTAGGCAGAGGAACTTGAAGTCATTCCCAGGGTGACCCAGAGCAGAGCTGTTATCGGTAGATGGCCCCCTTGCCTTGCTAGACCTCCTCTGCTGCTCTGATTGCCTTTACGTGCTCTGGTCTGCAGGTGGCAGAAGAAGAATACCTCATCCAGGAGCTCCGCAAAATCGAGACCAGGAAGAAAGAGAGAGAAAAGAGAACCCAAGACCTGCAGAAGCTCATCACAGCTGCTGACACCACCACTGAGCAGAGACGTGCCGAGCGCAAGGCTCCCAAGAAGAAGCTGCCACAGAAGAAGGAGACAGAGAAACCTGTAAACGTTTCTCTTTCTTTCTTCCCCCCCCAACCCCCCCCTCTGCATATGCTTTGTCTGGGTAATGTATTTCCTTCAGCAATCCTACTGAGATCAGGCCCTCAGCTCTTCTGGGGGGGAGTAGCTGCTGGCTGCTTTCTGACAGATGTTTTTTTGATTACGTCTTTTGGAAGGCAGATTGGTCTGAGGCAGCCATTGTCAGAGTCCTCTGGTGTGCTCTCTATCTCTCCCCCATTTGAAAAATGCTGGTTTAAATCCTGTTTCCCTTTCCCTCTCTGAGAAATGGGATGAAATGATGCCAGCCATTCATGCCTCGTGGCAGGAAGACACATCTGTCTCCCTGCTTCTCCCAAGTGTGTTCTGGTACTACTGTGCAGGGTTGTCCCACCAACCCCTTGTCTTTCACCTGCCTTGTTTTTCTAGTCCAGGTTTCTGTTTCCTTCCCCACTCCTGGGTCTCAGCAGCATCTCCCTAAGCTCAGTACATGCCCCTCTCCTGATCCTCAGCTGTGATCAGAGCAGCCCTGCTGGGGGACTCTTGTATTCTGGAAGCTATTGCTTCTTCTATCTCCCTGAGCTGAGCTGAAGTCTAAGGAGCCCAGAACACAGGTTTCAATTCATGTTTGATGTTACCTCAATTTCCCCTTCTGCAAAGAGGGCAGCGTGGACTGAACTAAATTCAACACCTTCAGTACGAAAGGGCTGTTACAAAATCTCAGATGTTTCCATTGGGTCCTTGGGAATTCCTGTCCCTTCACCTTATGAACAGAGAACACTTGTGTCATTGTCCTCCAAGAGTCTGTGCAGGGAGGGGAGAGAGGCAGTGAATGTTAGACAGTTATTGCTCGATGAAGTCTGCCTAATGGCCAGCACTCCCTTAAAACATTGGTTCCCCCTTGCCCCTCTGAGTAATTAATATATCACTGGGCACCTTGTGCATGGAATTCCCTTGAGGGTTGATCTGCTAAAGCTCAACAATGGATGGCATATCTCCCTCTGAAGAAAGCAGCTCATTGTTGGTGGTAGTGAAAAAAGGGTGGTGATGGAGAATGGGACTGTAAAGATGCTGAGGGAGTCCAGCCCTAAATATTGCCTCTTGCTTGGGGCCTGTCTGCAGGCATATAGTGGATAGGCACGCCAGGGTGGGCAGAGAAGCAGTTTCTGTTGTTGCACTAGCATCATTTCAACCATGACAGAGTCCATTAGGAGTCAATTACCAACTATAGCCAGGAAATGTTAAGAAAAAAATTGCATTTTAACTAAGAATTTGAATCGGGAGCTGCATCAGCATCATTTCAACAAAGGAAAATCATTTACCAAAGAGTCAATTGAGGTTGAAGCGTTTACAGCATGTACAGGCACGCCAGGCAAAAGAACCCATTTAATTGCTTATGCGCCGAGTGCAGTCAGAGTTTCTCGGCTAAGCCAGCGATGCTGATTTACCCTCAGTGCTTGTGTCGGTGTTCAGCAACAGGCTGGGGGCAGAGTTCGGGGAGCATGATAGCCAGCCTTCATCCAAAGGAAGCAGAGAGGATTGGTTTTTGATTGCAGCCTTCTTTGACTCTAATAATCCAAGCAGGGAGGCTACATCCTACCAAAGATCAAGGTGATCCCTACAAGTTCATGAGCCCTGTTAGTGGTTAGAGAATGCTTTTTTCCACCGTGGTCGTGTTTAGAAACCTCTTCCTGGGGGTTTTGTTTATTGGGCTGACCACAGATAACTGAAAAAAATCTTAATGTCTGGCCACACAGAGTGGTTTGCAAGGTGCTACCTGAAGACCAAGACACAGAGATAGCTGATGGAGATGTGAGAGCAGGGAACTTGAGGAATTGAGTCAGTGTCCTTCAGCATTTCTTACGATCTTGGGGCAGCCTTGGTTGTCTCAGCCCTGTCTGGAATGAACAAAGAGCAAGCTGCAGAGCTTCTGCAGAGAAATGTGGGAGCAGCAAGGTGAACGCCGATTCCAAAGAAATTGGGAGATTTGAGGTGACTCTTCCTTTTGGAAAAGCGTGGTTGAACATGCATTTTGCAGATTGTGGCTATTAGCTTGAATCATGAATATTGCTGACCCGTTCAGGGGACCCCACACCATTCAGTGCACAGGGCCCTGCAGATAGCCGGGTTTAATAATTTAAGTTTGTTCACCTTGTGCTTTGCTCAGCAGCACAGGTTTTTTTTAAGGGATTGCATTTATTTTTTTCCATTTTGTTGAAGTGCAGCTGAATGCTCTGCTGTCTCGGAGCAGCAGCAGCTCTAGAAGTTTGCTGCCTTGTGTTCCTATGCTTACTATGTGAAGTGGGGAAGAAAGAAAACTGTCTAACAAATGGCAATATGTGTATAACCAACAGGCCTCCCTGGAGGGGTGCAGTCCTTACATCCTCGTTACTGGGCTCATGTCTGTGCAGATCAGAGGTTTGAGTGCAAGTCCCCTAAGGAATGAGCTGAGAAACCTGTCCTGGGCTGTTTTGATCAGTGAAATGGGCCTAAATTGGTTAAGGATGTTATGGTGCAAATATGCATGTGTTAGTATAAGGAGTGCCATTTAGGGTTAGGGTTTATGCTTGTGTGGGTGGGTGTAAGGCTCTGTGTAGAGCAGTTCATTTAAACCATCCAAACAAAAATGCTCGAGCTCTCCAAAGGTACCTTGAACTGGAGCATTTTTCTCAGTAAATTGCTTGGGATTTTCCTCTTGCCTCAGCTCTGACATGTGGCCATGGCAGGTGGTTCTCTGTCACAGGAAACAGTATTTCCCCTTCAGCTAGTCTCTATATGAAATCTTGTGTTTCTTGTGTTTCCTCCATCCACACATCCTGTTTCGATCTCTTTCAGGCTGTTCCTGAGACTGCTGGCATCAAGTTTCCTGACTTCAAATCTGCAGGTGTCACGCTGCGAAGCCAGAGGGTAGGCTGTTGTCCTGGTCCCCTGGGACCTCTGTTAATGTCTCTCAGTCTGCCTGTCTGTCTCCTTGTCTGTTCTCCTTTTATAGCTAAAGAAAGTCAAGTTCTTACCTCTAAAATAAGAAAGGAATTCCATAAATGTGGAGACTCAGAAACCTGGAATGTTAGCTCTGTGGAAGCCAGCTCATTGCCTTGCTATGAGGGGCACCTGAACTTGCTGGTGTTTTTTACTGGTGTGCCCACTATGCAGTTAGACACGTGTGACAGACCCAAATGGAGCTGTCTGGTCCAAAGAGAGCTCACAGCCAAACGTCATAGGCCTCAGAGCAGATGTGTTAACACGAGAGGTGCTTTTAAGAACTGAGTGTTCAGGTTGTATCTTGAAAAAAGCCAGAGACGCATAAATGCATACAATTTTTAACTTCTCTATTTCCGCTATCTTCAGAAAATATTTTGGGGAAAGCCCCTTTGATCATTGTTACACAGATATCCCCGAGAAAAGAACTTTCTTGCTGTTTATCATCAAGAGCTGACGCCTGTCTCTGAGTGACAGGTTTTGGGATGCTGAGTAAGTTAAACCTGTCTGGGTGACTGAACATTTTCAGAGGGGTTTTGATAACAAAATCCTGTTTGCCCACTACAAGTGTGGTTTGGTTTTTTATGTTTGGGGTTTTTTTTTCTGTTTGTTTGTTGTTTGTTTGTTTGTTTTCCCTAGCCAAATAAAATAGCCCTTAGTTGCTTTATTGTAGCAAAGGTGGAGAAGTAGGTTCCTTGCCTGGTGCTCTCACTTGGCATAGTAATATTCTAGGTCACTTTTAAAGACTGTTTTATGGGATATTCTTTTGATGTCAGAATAGTTTCAGATCTTGCTGGGAACACCCTGGGGCTGTTAATAGAAATGTGTTTGGAATCATGCTGCTTCAACGTATGGGTCCACGCGCACATTAGAGGCGGTATGCCTCAGCAAGGTCACTGCTGGGGGACTCCTTTAGTGTACAAGTGCCACCATCTGCAGGCTACCTGTTTGAGTGAGGGGCTGCAGCCTTGGGAAAGTCACAGGCAAGTGACAGGCAAGACTGCAGTGCATGTGTTGAGATTTATGGAGATGTGGCAGATGTGTTCTCCAGCATTAAGATAAATAGAGTAATTTATGGAGATTGATTTGGATTTTGAAAACTAATAAGTGATGGTTGATCTTTTCTATTTTTTACCCTCCCTGGAAGAGAAGCTGAGCAATAACCTGTCAGTGATGGAACCATCTGGCAAAGCCAGCAGCCTTTTCATGTGCCAAACAGGCAATTCAAATCACAGCCTTTGTGAAAATGGGTGCTACGTGCTTCTCCCTGTTCTCTTTAATGCTCACAAAATGCAGTGATAAGCTGAGGCATGGCAGTCTGATTCAGCAACTTTCAGCCTGCAGTATCCATGCTCCTGGGATGACCTAGAGCAACTTCCTATGCTCTGCTTGAAACTTTTAAGGAGATAAATGCTGTTATTGGAAATACCAGTGGTTTTCAAATTGAAAAAGATGGCAAATCACTGATCTAGGTGAAAAAAACAACTCTTTGTTGCTTGGGAATGTGAAACCTGCCTCCAACCCAGCAAAATGAATTAATATATGGCTTTTAGTCAGTCACCTGGCTTCCTTATTCAAGTCTTCCCTGTTTTTAAAATGGGAGCTAATAGACTCACTTGCTTCACATATGGGTGATGGGGAGAATTAATTACATGAGGTCAGTACAGGCCTTTTGAACAGGTAAGAGCTGCTGAAGTGCTAAGTGATATAGCTGACAATGTAGGCTAATCCAAATTATTCTACTTGTGGGATTCATGTGGCAAACCCTCTACACACCAGTGGTGTGGAATTGATAAGGATGGGAGCTGACTAGGACTTAAGTGAGGAATTGGTATGCTGTGCTGGAAACTTCTACTCTGTCAACATCCAGGGTGAGATGTTTTGCCCTGAGTGTGTTGGAAAATGATTCCTAAAGGTTTGTGACTTCCTGCAGTAAGTTCTTGTGCTTGAGGACCTAAAGGGTTCCTCACCTAAAGGCTTCTGTTGTCCTCTTTTATTTTGTACTTTACTACTGTGCTTTATGCCTTCCTAGTTAGGCCAAGTTGGGTTTTGCACTGAGATCAGGAACTCAACCTGTCACGTGTGAAAAATGTACCATATCGTCCCCGGGATAACAGCACTTACTCTTTGATTAGAGATTTTTTTTCCTGAGGATTTACAATTAGTCTGAAAACTTGAGTTAAATTTAATTTATAGAAACGAGTCCTTGATGAAAAAGTTAGCAATCTGTATTCAACTTAATTTCTTCCTAGTAGCTTTTATGACAATAGCTCTGTTTTTTTTTTTTAATTCCTCCTGTTGTTAAAACTGACAAAATCTTACACACAGGCTGAATTTGAAGACTTTCCCCTGGCCCCCACCTAGGATTAATGGTCACTTACAGCCATTATTCTTCATAACCGAAAGTTTGTCCTTCAGCAGACACTGAAGAGTAATCTTTCCAGTGAGTTCAACAAGCTGCCTGCTATCAGGATGGCTTCAGTCTCCCATTGTTCTCCATGGGGCTGTGCCCACAGGCAAAGAAGGCCACAGCCCCTGTGCCCTTGCTCTGCGTGGGATTTCCCCTCTGTCTCCTGACAGCACAAACTGCAAGTTTCTCTAAGGCGGTAGGAAGCTGGGCGTTATGAAAAGCTTCATCTTAATTCAAGGCAGTGTATTGCTTTGGTGCCACTGAGAACAGGAGGCAGTAGCAGATGTTTTGGAAGGGGGTAAGCCTTTCATGGCTGTCTTGAAAAGGAATTTTAGACCTTTGCCTTCTCCTTTAGTAAAACAGTTATGAAAATAACACCAGAAATTTATTATTAATCCTAAGTGTTACTTCTGGAAGACTTCCTGTTATACCAGATCTGCTCAGCTAGGAGGGCAGACAGCCAAAGAGCCACAGGAAATGAGAGATGGGTAGGGAATTTGTATGGAGAAAGGAGAAGAAGATACTAAAGGGAAAGCTTTGCTGAGGATCTGCCTGAAGGAAAGGAAAATGAGAGCTGTTGAACTTGAATCTTTTCCAGGACCCAGACAAGCCAACAATAACCGCACATTTGTGATCTAGGCATTGTGTTGCTTCTGTAGGGCAGAGCTGAGTTTGTTTGGAATTCACTGCAGCGTTTCTGTACCATGTCATGTTGCTTAATCTTTTAATTTTAACCTTTGTCTTTGACTTTATTGTGTTCAGAGCACTTGACTTTGGCATACCTAACATCTCTTCAGTGTGTTTTAAGTTGCTCATCTTCTCTCTCAGCCTTATCTGTAATTCTAAATTATGATTTTGTTAATGCTGTTGAATTCCTGCAGCAGTGCTTTTAAGAAGGAAGGTAATGGATGGAAAAGGATGGATGTTTGTCCCCACTCCTGCATGTTGAGGTGTAAGTCTATGTTCTTGCTCTATTGTCATGAGTTTGGAAACAAAGGAACTGGAAGAAAATCGATTGAGTGATGTCTCATCAGGAAACAAAAACTCTAGGATGAAAAGGAGTTTGTAGAGATCTGAGTTCGCAGAAAGGACTGAGGGATGCTCCAGTTTAGTCATTCAAATCCGGCCACCTCCCTTCAGAAAAGCCTTCCAGCCAGCAGCCTGACTCCATCTGCTAACTGGGATCTTGTAGACAATTTGCCAGTTGGACCAATTAAAAAAGAAGTAGAGGAAGGAAAATTACAAGTACAGCTTTAGTACCCATTGATTCAAATATTCACAGTCGCCAGCTTTTAAATATTTACTAGCCTGCTGAGCATGTTTTTAGCACTGATTAATGAGTAAGAATTTACTGTGGTTGTGAGGGAATGCGTGAGTGTGAGTTCGCTTCCATTTTTTTTTTCCTTGGAGTGGGAACTGAGCGCTCTCTACAGCTCCAAGGTGAATGATAGTTCTAGAGGAAGATAGGGTTGTATGTATGTGTTTAGACATGTTTATTCTCCATATTTGATCTGACCCACAATTAAATGGCCAAGCACGCTGCCTGTTTACTCTGCATCGGAGGCTGTTGGCTCTGTTCCTTCCCTGTCATTAATGCAAACCCAGATCTCATCAGCTGTGAACATGTGAAACATCTGTCTGCCCTCCTGTGATCAATACTATACCTTCAGAGGTTCAGCTTTGGAAGCAGTTCCATAAAATATCAGTTATTTTTATTTGGATTTGATAAATTTAATTACTTGGAGCAATTAATAATTTATTTGTTTTGTATTGATTGCACTCCAAGGCATCCTGGCATCAATCTGTTGGAGATCAACACACCCTTATTAGGTAGGAAAGTTTATGTTTCCAGATCTGAACATCCCACGGATTACTTAGCTGAGATGTGCTTGTTGCTTCTGCTAGCAATTTTTCATTAGTGAAGTTGAATGTTTTGCACTCTGCAAGAGAGTGAATGAGAGTAATTTCCATGGGGAGCCTGACAGAGATGTGGAAGGAACGTGGTAGTCTCATTTCTGTGAATAAAAGTTATGAACAAATGATGCAGGCTGGATCGAATTCAAGTTGCGGCGTTGCCATCTATTTGTTGTATTACATGCCCTTTAATTAGGGCCAAGAGAGTGCTAGTGCATTTCCTAATCAAACTCCTGCCTGTAGAGAACAAAATAAGATGAAAATATTGGAGTATTTCTTTTTAAAGAGAACAGCAAAGGATACAAAATCTTGAATGAACCGGAGGAGGTAAATCCAATGCTTCTCTTCCTCCTTTCTCATTCTTGGCTAAACTGAAAGGCAGTTAATGTTAAATTGCTGAAAGAAAATGCATCCGTTACCTTTTTTGTGGAGCTCTTTGGTGTGGGAGAGCATCTGGACCAAAGCCTTAGTAGGCTCTCGGGTATAAAGAGAGTGCTCTGGGTTCAGTAATGGGGTCTTTTAAAATAAGTTGTAGTTCTGGAAAGGACACTCTGTGTTGCTGGTTCTGTTGAATCATTAGATACCAAACAGCGCCTGTGCAGTA